CTATGGGTCAGAACCGACTCGAAGGCACTTAACAACAACAACAAACAAATTCCCCTAGCAGTAAGCCTTCCAACATTCTAAATATTCCTTTATATGTGGTTCAGAGTTCTGGCACCGTCCTCTGAGCCTGCTTGGTCAGATATTCTGTGTTGTTACTGACGGAGAGCCTCACTGCACTTCTACCTGATCCGCTATCTTGTTTGTTCTCCAGTTAGATTTTTGTTGTTTAATCATGAGGGACTCATGGACTTACACATATTTGATGTGTTTCATTCCATTGCTATTATTATCCTTATGAATCTTCAAATTCTCTTATTTTTCCATTGGGGGCTTTTTCATGTGATTTTACAAGTCCTTCCAACACAACCCTAGTAATATTTATTAGTTGCACTGCTGTCTCTTTGTTATGGTAAGACGCTTTGGGGTGTTTTGTCATTTCCTGCCCCACATCTGGAAATAGCCATTTCTTCTGAAAGCCCTGTTTTCTTTTAATGGGTAAAGGTACTTTTATGTGATGATATAGGCACAGGATATTTATTACTGTATCAGTCATACTTTCTAAGTCTTTTCAATGGATAGAGGTAATAAATAAAAGGGGTCCCAGGGTGACACTGTGAGTTAATGCGCTGGACTGCAAAGTCGGTTTGAATCACAAGGTCAGCAGTTCAAGCTTACCAGTTGCTCCTTGGAATCCCTATGCAGGGTCACTGTGGGTTGGAACTGACTTGACAGCTCTTAACAACAACAACACATGAAATACAAACCCATGTAAGATCATGCTAATAATCACACTCACCTCTACAGCCATTCACTTACCTCTTCTCCTTTACATTGGTTATCTCTTTTTAACTTATATAGAAATTTTGTGTTTTAAGTATACCAAGGATACTCAACGACTCAGTTACCATTCACTCGCTGTATGTGTTTGCTTTACATGATGATTGAAAACCATTTTTTAAAGGTTTTTTGGGCACATCCTCCCCCATTTTTTGAACAGCAGATATAGGTCGTTTTCAGTGGCAGCACCTAGCCATTACACACCGTACCACCACCACCATGCTCCTTATTTAGGCATGCCATTGTTGTGAAGTGCTGTCTAGTCGGTGCCAAACTATAGCTACCCTGTATAGGGTTCCGAGGAGCGGCTGGTGAGCTTGAACCACCAACTTTGTGGTTCAAATCGACTCTGCAGTCCACCGCATTAATCCATAGCGTCCCCCCCACATAAAGTATATGAAGAGGAGTGAGAAGGATGTGGCAGTCTACCTTCATAGAGATTTACAGCCTTGTAGACCCTGCCGGGCAGGCCCACTCCATCCTGTACGGTTGTCAAGAGTCGGTATTGACTCGATGGCAGCGAGTTAACTAACCGTTTATCATTGGCAGTTGATTCGGACAAACGACATGCCAGTGATTTTGCCCTATGGAAGGCGGCTAAATCCCAGGAGATTTTTTGGACATCGCCTTGGGGAAATGGCAGGCCTGGCTGGCACATAGAATGTTCCACCATATCCAGGTAAGGTTTCCTTCAATACATTTTGTGTTTGTATTCATGTTAAAGTTCAAGCAGTGCCTGATTTGGTCAGCAGAGGGTGTAGATGTCAGCAAGTTTAGTGTAAGAACCGATGCCAACAAAGTTGATTGAGAAGAAAAAGTAGTGGTAAAACATGACCAGTCACAAGAAGTGAAATAAAACAAAAATGATTATATGCGTGTATCTTTCTTTATATCAGCTCTTCCTCTTGTTACTAGAAAAAGGCTGCTTATAGTTCAGCTCTTGATTTCTTGGCACATAAAAGGTTAAGCGGTGTTCTGTGGTGGGTTTCGGAAAATGTTTGTCTATGGAGGAGTGCAGAGCCTCTAGCACTCCGCACCTGGCTGACTGTTATGGACTGAATTGTTCTTGTGAAGAGCCATTGAGTCAGTTTTGACCTGTAGCAGTTTCCGAGGAGCAGCTGGTGAGCTTGAACCACTGACCTTGTGGTTCAAACCAACTTTAGCAGTTCAGTGCAGTAACCCACAGTGCCACATTACGATATACCCCCCAAAATAAGTGTGGTAAATCCTAACTTCTATGCCTGTGGGTCATCTTTGTTATGTTCATGAGACAGGATAAGCGTAGGGTGTATTTTGAGACATAAAAGAGATTAACATATTGAGCAAAGAGAGATGGGATAGGATAGCTACCAAGAACATGGAGCTCTCTCTCCAAGGAATCAGGAAGCAGAAGCTGAAGAGGCGAGGACCTTCCTCCTGAGAGCTGGAGGTCTGATTCCAACTAATAGTCTCCTAGACTGTGAGACAGTCAGCTTCTGTCTGGTGAAGGCAGCCACTTAGCATAACGCTAGGTAAGGAACACACCGACCAAGCCGCTTGCCTTTCTTCCAGGAGAGCATAGCCTGCCATTGATGCATGTGCTCTTCATGGGCAGGTGCATTTTGATTATCTTATTTTTATTGAATCGATGAGCAGACCAACTCTCGGCCTCCCTCACAAACACCCAAACCTGCTGCTTGATCAAATCTCATTTCATAGCCTCTCTGTTCTCACTTTTTTGCCTACAAATTCTTTCCTCTGCCTCTTTGTACCAACTCTTTCATCTCAGGCAACAAATATGCACAAGACTTTTCTGTTAGGAAATCTCCAAAGATTAAATAAAGAACTCTTTTTGATCCTGGACTCTCTTCGACCTTACCATCTTATTTGTCTTCTTTGTTAGCAGGGTTTCTTGGAAAGCTAGTCTCCTTTCACTGACTACGCTTCTTACTTCCAGCTCAACACCCTGCCATCTGGCTTTACTCCCCCTTGTCAACACTGAAGTGTGGTCACTGAGGCCACCACAGTACACATCCAGTCGGATGCCTGGGCCACTCCTTTATGGCCCCTCTTCCATAGCAAACACTGGTTTATTGAAACTCTCTTGCTTCCCTTGGCTTTTATGAAACAGCATTCTTCAAGGGTTTTATATCTGATTGAGACTGCCCATCTCCTTGTGTGATCTTCTCTGTAGACTTTCCTTTCCACATTGGGGCCTCCCTGGGGTTCCATCCTTAGCCAGGTGCCTCTTTTCCTTATGCGTCCCGTCCTGTTCCCTTGTTTTAACTGCTATGTTTATTCCTGGCTGCTCTTTTGACTTCTGAGGCCAGTTACCTGTTTGAGGCTCTTGGATGCTGCAAAGGCACTTCACAGTCAACATCTTGAAGGATAAATTCACCTTCCTCCTCTACCAGCCACATTTGATATCTTAGCTAATGACATTACCATCTACACAGCTAACTCCAGGGAGAGTTTGAGAGAGAGTCCACAGATGTGCTGCCCAATGAAGTCCAAGCCACACGTGTGGCAATTCCAATTTCAGGCAATTAAAATTAAGTAACATTTTTACATCCAGATTTCAGTCCTTCTAGCCACTGGTCAGTACTCAAGAGCCGCACGTGTCCGGTGGCTCCCATACTGGACAGCACAAGTATACAACATTTGCATCAGTGTGAAGGATAGTGGCTAGCACTGGCCGCTGAGAAGCATTTGCTATGACATATATTCAATCTGTCAGTAGGACTGGCCGATTTTTCTTTTTCCCTTTTGTCTTAGGCTGGGGTTTTTTAGAGAAGCATATGTATGTATGTATGTATTGTTAGGTGCCATCGAGTCGGGACCGATTCAGCGACCCTGTGCATAACAGAACGAAACACTGCCCAGTCCTGGACCAACCTCACAATGGTTGACACACTTGAGCCCATTGATGCTGCCACCTGGCCAATCCATCTTGCTTGGTCTTCCTCTTTTTCTCTGACCCTCCACCTTACCAAACATAATGTCCTGCTCCAGCGACTGGTCCCTCCTGACAATATGTCCCAAGTATGAGAGATGAAGTTTGGCCATCCTGGCCTCCCAGGAGCACTCTAACTTTACTTCTTCCAACACAGATCTGTTGGTTCTTTTGGCATCCCATGGCACTTTCAATATTCTCCTCCAACACCATAGCTCAAAAGCATCAATTATTCTACAGTCTTCCTTATTCACTGTCCAGCTTTCGCATGCATATGAGGTTATTGAAAATACGATGGCTTGAGTCAGGCACACCTTTGTCCTCAAGTTGACATCTTTGCTCTTCAACACTTTATAAAGGTCTTGTGCAGAGGATATATATATATATATATATATATATAGTGTATATATGT